TCATGCAATTAAAAGAAAAATTTAGATTAGTGAATTCTTTACATTTAATATAGTTTCTGTTTTAATTTTAAAAGTCAGATAAATGAAATGTAGTGGCGTAATCGTAAATACTTCAAACTCTTAAACCATTTTCTCCTCTCAATAATGAAGACATGAATATGTTCTTTATATAGACACCAAACAGCTTACACGTCTCCACAATTTGCTACATGTCGCTGCGTAACCGAACCATATTCGGTTAGTATTATCTCATGTTCGGTTAGTATTATCGAAGTCAGATTTCTTCTTCTTCTTCTAATACACTGAATTAAGATACATTTGACTATATTATTGCTTATAGTTAATTAGTAGAATTTGATAGTCGGTATATATATTACGACTTGCACGACTTAGAGAACCAAAATAGGGAACCACAATGTCAACAATTCATGTATATTGTTGACATGGAATTGTTTTTTTTTTTTTAGTTTCAAAAAGAAACAATTCCTGTAAATTGAAATACTATATAACTTGATTATTACCTCATTATATAACGGTATCTAAATATTTTTATTATTTTAAATACGTTATACGGTTCCATACATGTTAAAGGCAAGCCGACACTGAATTAGCAAGCGTTCATGCCCATAACAAGGATACTTATATTACCTCTCTTTTTTCAGGCCTTCTAAATTGTGATCTAAATTGTTAATATATAAATAGACACACTCATACACATGTACGTGTGTGATGTGTGTGCGTATATGCAATTGGAAGGATATATCATATTCGATGAACATATCGGTGGTTCGTAGTTATTAATTTGGACTACTCTCCAGATCTGAGAACAAAGGGACCAATGAGATCATTATATATTTGTTTTTTTTTTGGCCAACGAAACAATTCTTAATTTCAATATTTGTTTTGCAATAATGAAAATGTAGAACACAAGAAACAAATATTCAAGAATACGTATTGATGTGCATGACAACTTGAAAATAAATGGGGGAAACAAGCTGAAAACAAATCTAATTCAACTTACCCACTTTTTAATAAAAGATGAATTTTAGGCCACACCATAATAATTTCTGATTCAACTTAACGAATCTAGTAATAATAAGTTTAGTGTCGAATATTTATATTGCAATATAGTATGATTAAGTTTGTCACCAGTTTTAATGACATG